AATTAAAAATCTATAAAAAATTAATGTATTTAATATTATTAAAAATTTTCCCATGACCCGTGTCAGGGGAGTGTACAGTATAATATATGTGGGTTATGATATATTTGCAACCTGCCAATGAGATCAACGAAAGACTTTCATTCATCGGCCTCTTGATTTATTATTACAATAATTGCATACATCTATACATATAACATTTTACTTATAAATTCCTTTATGAATATATCATATTTTTTTAATGATAATTTATAACCTCACGCTGGATTCTGTATAAATCGATAACGAAATTATTAACAGCAACTGTAGCTGTAGCAGGAATTGTTGCTACATATGGTGTGACTGGTGCGACCGGTGGGTCCCAGAAAACTTCCGACACTGGAATTGTAACTTGATATTGATGATTATTTGGAGCATTACAACCGGTAGCCTGATTACTATTAAGTTGTAAGGTACCAAAGTCCCACTATCATGTTGCAAAAGTATACTTTAATCTCTGATGCTTGATCACAAAAAATAATTAAAAGTGGATCTTACCTCTAGGACAGAAACCCCTGCTGCTACTAAAGCTGGATTTGTTGGTGCTATACATCCTAGTGGTGCTGGTATTTGGCGTGTCCACAGCCTTGCCTAATATAAAAAGAAACTCTTTAGAGAACGAAACTATAGAATAATGAAGTGAGACACATACTGTCATAGAACGGTCATTTGTTCTTCTTTTATCATGAAGCTTTATACCGAAAACATATCGCACGTATTGTTCGAGCATCCAATTCTCACATTTTTTAATCCATGAAGCTGTATCCACAGCTGACGCTATTTCACAAAATATTCGTCCGTGTGGATTTCCCTGTGAACATACTAATATTAAGAAAGTAACTCAAATAAACATGTCAATATATATAAACTTGATGTACCTTTATATCGCTAGGGGGAGGTCCAGGATGTCGAACAGCAGGACGTGAAACATATGCCACATTTGGGTGAATTGTAACGTCCGCTGCTAATTTCTTTAAGTTATTAGATGGATCCCAATGGACTATTGGAAAAATATGTAATGTTATTATGGTTCAATACCAGGCAGAAACTAGAGAAACCTCTTACATGGTTGGCCTAAAACTTTTATTGGAGGATCAATAAACACACCATCATTAGGGATTTTGAAATAATCCTGAAGCAAACTAACAACAGCTTCGTGTTCTGGGTTGGCCATATCAACGATATAAACGTCTCCGTTTTCCCAAGAAAATTTGTATCCGGACGATTCGTTGCGATCAAGAAACGTATTATATTCATTCATTGAAATTTTTTTCCCAATCTGAAACGGCAGACTGCAAACCATATAAATCAACATGGAGTAGAATTTAAAGAAACTTGAGTAGTCACTTACTTTTCTTCTGCTAAGCCAAATTTTGGCAGTTTTGGATAGTTATGGAAAATGTTATCAATTATATTTCTGGCTTTCCTTGATTTCTTTAAGGACGACATTTTTGAAGAGCAAATGTAAAAACAGATATTAAACTAAAAAATGATCAATAATTGAAGACTAAAAATGGTCAATAATTCCTTTTATTCGCGATTTTCTGTTACGTATAAAATTTATTATTAGACATTTTTTTTAATTTCTGCCAGCATTAATTTCTGCCCGGTTAATGGATCATCGGAAATACGATATTTTAAAAGAACAAGGTTGTAAAACAATATAATAACCTTTTTAATATTTTTTAATAATATATTTATCTCCTATCACATTTATATTAATCATTTTATATAAAGCTTGAACTTTCGAAAATTTTAAATTTATATGAAGAAATCTCGAATAATTCATCCGCTACTTTAGCTCTTTTTGCATCCAATTGTTTAGCATCTGCGTAATTAATTATATTTACATTATTTTTTCAAATCTAAATTACATATGGTTGACGTTGGACCTTTTTAATACTAGATTTTATTAATATTGTCAAATAAATTCGAATCAATAGAAAACCCTAGTTTTGATAGTTGTAATTCTTGATTCAATATTAAACAGCTCTTTAAACAGCTCTTTAACTTTCTGCTGGTAAATTATTAAATACCAATTTTGGTTTTTTACAAAGTCATATAAATGAGTTTGTTCTATTTACTCATTTTATATACTTAATTATTATTAGATTATTATTATTCTATAAGGTTCACTTTATTCTTTAAGTTGTTTATTAAAGAGATTTCAGATAGTTTGTTAATTGATTAATAAAAGGATAATTTAGAATTAAAATTCTTTATACTTCTGATATTAAACTATGATATACATTTAGTTTCGCTAATTTTTTACTAAGGTTTTGATATAGTTTTCCATTTTTATAAGCTTTGATATAGTTTTATCTTTTCCTATATTTTGTAGATTTTTTAATAAGATTTTAATATAATTTATCAAATTTTACTTTTTTTAACATTTATATGACTTGCAAAACCTCTAAGTTTTATATATTAACAATTTTCAAAACCTTTTTTATTTTAACTTAAATATGAAAAGTAGAAAAAGATCAATTAGAATTCAAAAATATTTAAACATAAATTTAAATATATTCTAACTCCTTTTATATTAATCTCTTTTATTATTATTCTCAAAATTGATTTTAATAATTTATATTCTAATTCATTATCAGTTTAACAAATTGGCTTTTTATCTTTTAATTTTTAATTTTAATTTTATAATTTTCTTTATTTTGTAAAAGGATTATTTTCAGAACTAGCATTTTATTTTAATAATTTAAACAGTTATATTTTCTCAAATTGATTAATAAATTTTAGGATATTAGTATATATAGAATTATATTTCTCTTAAATCATTATTTTTCTTGTTAAATTCTAACAAAATTAGTTTCATCTTCTAATTATTCATTTTTACTCAAAAGCTTAGAATTTTAGTATTTTATTTTTTGATCTTGTTGTAAAATTCATTAAACTTTTCTTTTAGCTTTTGATTTTCTATATAGAAATAAAAAAAATATATTAATAATTGTTAAAAATATTGAATAGAAATAAATCACAAATTAATACATATTTTTAAATTATTAGAATTATTAATAATTTAACTCAAATTAAAACTAAAATACCTATTATTAGTTCATATTAAAATTTTGATATTAGTTAAATATTTCTGTATTATTTTCAAAAAGTTATTTAATATTAATATGTATATTATAATAAATTTAACTTATATTCTAAAATATTTAGTTATTTTATAAATAATATTGATTATTATATTTATTTTTATTTTTTTTATTATAAAAAAGTAAAAATCATTTTATAATTTAAAAAGCTAGTTATTTAATTAATAAAATTTAATTTATATTCTAATTATTTTTCAGCTAATTTTATTATTATTATTAATTTTACAATTAATTTTTTTTGTATTTTTATTATAAAAAGTAAAAATAATTTTATAATTTGAAAAGGTACAGTCAACTCTTATTATAACGAACTTTATATCCTAGACCTTAACTTTGCTATAAGGTTATAGTAAAGATTTTAAGAGATTTGATTGGCCAATTCACTATAACAAGAGTATTTTTATTATATTTGTTCAAAAAAT